CGGCGACAGCGACAGAGACGGCGACGACGACGTCAGCAAGGGCGTCACCGCCTCTCTACGGTCGCCCAGTTGCATTGACGCTCTCATTTCCCTCAAAGCGGTACTGCTGTCTCATTGAAGGCCCTTGTCCCAGCCGCTTCTTCCGCTACTCTCACACGGCGCCACACACACGCACCCTGCACGCGCTAACTCACAAAGACCCACCCATTCCGGCGCCAACCCTACAGCCGATTGAGACGCTACACTAATTACAGCTGAATCGCCGCTGGCATATTTGTTTCGAAATATTGCTCGCGGTTAATTTATCACAAGTTTTTCTTTGAATCGCCGGCGGCTGAAAAATGTTGCCAATGCCTTTGTTATACATAGCTATTGCTTTTGCTGCCTGCCACAGTTGTGTGTTTCTGCTTCTATTTGTGTTGTTGCTATTTTGTCATTGCGCTGGTTATTTCTATCAATGCTGCAGCAGCTTTCTTGTTGTTATTATACATAGCTTGCGGTGTTGTCGTTTTATACAGCTGTGAAATTGTGATCATCTCTGCCGCGGCCCCCATCCCGTGCCAGCAACCTGGCCTCCGCTCCCCACTTATCGCTAAGCGGCCGCTTGTCTAAGTATACCTTCATATTAAAATTGTTAGCCGCTGGGCTTTAGTTCTATTCTTTTTCGTCATCAACTGCATCCAGCGCCAACATCATTATTGCCGATTGTATTTCTGTATGAGCTGCAGCGCAAACGAACACCGACATTATTATCCAGACAAACGTCATCAGTGGAGCAATTATTTTCGAATCATACCCAACAAAGTGGCCTGCAGTTAGCAGTCGGCTCTAAAGCCAACGAGGTATTCATTATCATCATATATTATATACCATATATATGTATGTACATATAGACTTTTATGCAAATACAGCACACACACTTAAACGGATTATATCACTTATATAACGTAAATCCATCGCCTTTCCCACCCCTCGCTTCAATGAAGTTTTTKTATACTCTGGCAATATGTAGCACCAGTCAAAATAGTTTAGCTCACTTAACGGCTGTTTCTAACACCTAACTAATCAACACGGATAAAGTGTTATGTATGTAAATCGAATTTATCAGAATGGCGAATTCAATTGAATGCTGGATGTCCATATCAGCGATAACTGGAGTAAGACTGGGTCATTTTGATGAAACATGCTCCGCTGTCACAGATTTTGCTAGAAAAGGTAGGTATGCGCTACTCGATAAAACCGAAATTTTTTATGCGTATGTTCAATTTATATTCTTTTCGGATTAAATCCTCTAGAAATTCGTAATGATCGGAACAAAGTTTTAGCTCTCAGCAGCGCAATCCTACCAATGTGCCCAAAGTACGTGCCAAAACTTTAAACGCGATTATCTGAAAATAACTATCTCATTTTAAAATACTGAAATATCTTATACTACAGGACCCGTCCACTCTTCASTGTGGCTGATACATAGATAATCTATGTGATTTCTATTTGTTGTATTATAAATATTAGCTAATGAGATATAGCATTTTTGAGAAGCAACTTGTGTTTGGTTACAAACAAATGGATCAATTAATAAAGCATTACTTTTTGGTGGAAAATACTGTTGAATTTGGGCTCAGAGAAATCCACCGTTGAAAAGATATTTTGTAAGCTGGAAAAAGGTGAAATGAGCACCGAAAACAATTATGCTTTAAAGAGGCGAAAGCTCTGTGCAAAGTGGGTGCCTCGCAAGTTCATAATCCAACAAAAACACGAATAACCGATTCTGAGAAGTGTTTAAGCGCTCCTTAATCGTAATAAAACCGAACTTTTGCGTCGGTGTGTGTCAATATTTCCCATTGGAGTCCAATTGACAGTCATTCTAGTGAACTGCACATGATGAACCGGTTCTCAGGCGTGGAAAGACGGAAAAGTCGGCTGGAATGGTTATGATATCAGTCTTTTGGGATGCACGTTGTATAACACAACTCAACGACTGATTACTGAGCCAGTTATAATCTATTTCACTGCGAATTTGGTTGCAGTTCTTTTCTACTATTAAAAACACTTAGCAGTTGTATTATTTTCGAGGAAGAATTTGTTTAAACTTGCAGGTATATATTCAAGTGATTAATACAAATATGAATTTCGAAAGAATGCTTATAATTTGAAAAACTGAATTAATTTCAAAAATTAAATTTTCAGTAAAATAAGCTAGGAAATATACCTAATTTAATTTTTTTTTTTTTTTTTTTTTTTTTTTTTTTTTTTTTTTTTTTTTTTTTGTGTTAGCTTAATAATCTACTGTCTAATGTCTGAGATATTTTAACGTAATGAAGTGAATATACAATAATCCTAGATAGACCGTTGATGCCTAAGAAGGAAATCTGTGCATGAATAGCTTCAGCCCTACTTACTATAATTTATTTAAATATGTAATTATTTTCGTTACATGTGTGCACTTAATGTCGAATATATTGGTCAAAGCGTTACTCACTTGCTTGGGAACATTTCCTCTACCCTCCGTTCGAAGCGCAAATAGCCGAATTTAAGGGCTTTCGACATTTCAATATGTGAGGTTTCATTGAAATATGCGAACAAATTTTCTYGGACACAGTGAAACTTAGCAATAAGTTGAGCAGACCTACATTTAGCCTCTATGCAAGGTGATTGCTTTCCATTATGCTTACATATTCGTCTGGTTAAATTAAGGTGCATTAAAATATTATATCATATTATGCCCGAAATCACGAAGTTCTTTGGTTCGTCCTCGGTGCCATATAATATCTAAAAGTTTTTTTACAAAAGTGCTTGGCCTTGGTTTGAACACAAATCGTTATGATATTATTTTAAAATTTCCTAGAAAGCGTTTGATTTAAGTCTGTTTATGTGGCTTTAAAAACGATTCAAAGAGAAAATATGTATTTATGACTTACATCGTAATAATTCCGCCTGGATCATATTCATAATGTGGAGGAAGATGTGAAGATATCGATATTAAAGAATGGAAATAGTATAGGTATGTACATACACATTTATCATGTTAGCAAAATGGAAAATTTGTAAGGTCATTCGAGATAAATACCCAACAATCCAGCGAAATTGAAGTCCATACAACCAATATTAATAAAAAACATTAAAAATACTTTCAGATACTTATAAGCAAGCGTCAGTGATAAACGAATAATTCTAAGTTATATCACTCAAGTATGGAGATGTGTTCCAATTGCACCTAATCTCTTTCAATATACCGGGTTTTCAATAGCGATGATATGCTTTCTAAGTGTCGTTTGGGCCATTTTTAATAACTCATGATCTGTAATTTCTGTGTCCATTATATTCAGTAAGGTTTACAATTTCATATTAGAAAAATATACGTAAGAACCAAGTTAACAAATTATTCAATTTAATTATAAAAATTATCGCTCTCCAATTGCCACTTTTCGTGCGCTTTTGTCATTTTATGATCATAATAATCCACCACCTCCGCTCGCTATTCCTCGAACTATTGAAAATTTCGAGCGTAYATTYTCTTTTCATAATGTTTAAGTGTTAATAAGAGTAAGAACCGCTCGAAGTAACGAAAATATTGATTTGATGCCGTTCAGGTAATTGTTGCTGAAGAGCGAATTTGYCGATTCCAAGATGTTCTCAAGAATTGGGACTGTCCCACAGCGCAATCTAGCGGAGTTTGAGAAAGTATTTGAACTTGCATCCGTATAAAATGATTCCCAACTGCAGAACTGCAGCCCTTGAATTGCTGATTTGCTCCAATGAAGCGSTGACACCGTTACTGTGAATGGAGTGCGGTATAGATGGRTGATAACCAACTTTTTATGGCCTCATTTGGAAGAAGTTGATYTCCACAAAATCTGGTTCCAACAAGACGGAGCTTTCCACACAGCACGTTCAACAAAGAAATCATTTCGATAAAAGTTTGGAGATTCGAATATTTGAAGGAAATGTAACATCATTMGACTACTTCTTGTAGGGATATTTGGAGTCATTGGTTTTTAACAATAAATCAGTTACTCTTCTAGCTTTAGAAATTAATATTGAATTTGCTATGAATTTTATATACAGAACTTAATTGTATCGATTGTAATTCACATTAAATAAAAAACATTTGAATTTCCTTAGCAATTAGCGTATTTTTTTAAGAAATCATAACACTCTTATTGGAAAATGAATTATCGCAAGTACTGTGAAGCCGGATTTGCCACATGTCGATTTTGAATTAGTAAGAGCAAAACAACTTTAAAACTGTTTCCAGAGGATTACATCGAAATTCCTTAAACCGAAAATTATTGTAACCGGTGAAGTAATTTGTGACACATTATAGCACTACTCAACAAATCTGAAGGAAAAATTTGCGACTGATGTGCTCAGAGGTCTGTGAGGTATTTGAGGTGTTCTGATTGTGATTTTATGTTCTAATATTTTGCAATTATTTTTGTCATTTTAGTAATTGGTGGTGGTTTCACCTCTACACGCTTTGACTGCAACACAAAAATCATACCTGTAAGGTATGTAATGAAATTTGTACTATCATTTTCGATATTATCAACTCAAAATTAATCATAAACTACCTCTAACATCGCAGTCGCAAAATCACTGTAAACTAGTGTAATTAGTATGATGCATTATAAGCCATATACTCAATATTTTCATAAGAAAAACAGGCTCCACCAACGCGAAAAGTAATTAATTTTAACATCTTAAGCACTTCTATAAGTTATTTAATAGCTAGCTGTACAAAAGTTATGAAAGAATTATATGGAATTGAACAAATAAGAATGCAAGCAATTTGGGGCACTCTCCATAATCGCCTTTTAATTGAAAGAAGCTTTCAACATTTCCCATATCATTAAGTCATTAAATCATATTCAATTTTTGATTTACTACACGCCCCCAATGTTAGGGCTGAAGGAATGTATAGAAATGGCTATAAAAGGTCACAGCTCTGCTCGACGAAGTGCAGTCACTTAYACAATCGTCAGGATTTATTAGAGTCCGCAATGGCTATCAAAAAACTAGCAAACTTTCGCACTTTGGAGCCCATACTCACCGTGTTGGGCTTGTGGCAAGGGGGAGATAGTTCATGGTTTAAGCGACATTATCGATATTACCAGTTATTCATGCATACTACGATTACATTCACCTTCGCATCCCTCATGGTCTTAGAGGTCATTTACAGTGAAAGTTTGGACTACGCCATAGATGTGCTAAAATACATGCTCGTTGAAATGGCCATTATTTGCAAAGTACTCAATGCCTGGTACTATGCACAACCGACAGCCGAATTAGTGAATGAATTGGAGGACAGTGCAATATTCGAATTACACACGAGCGCCGAAGAGCAGATGTGGCAAAAATCACAAAAAAATTTTAACAAACTGACAWTTATCTATATGGGTACGGGATTGAATTCGGCATTCTGTGCTTTACTAGCGGCGGCATTAATGGACGCCAAAGAACTACCTTATGCCTTGTGGTTGCCTTATGATTGGCGCGATACTTATTTTTGGGGCATTTACTGTTATGAGTGTATTGCGATGCCCTTCACTTGTTTGTGCAACATTACGATCGACTTATTCCAAGCTTATTTGCTATTGCATTTAACRCTTTGTTTCCGGGTAATCAGCATGCGCTTGGAGCGGTTGGAAAGTGCCGGTACGGAAGACGCGATCACCACGGAACTGCTCAATAACATTAAAATGCATCAGCGTGTGAAAGAGTGAGCCAATGAATACACTGACTATAAAAACACACGCTTTCTCTTATTTTCATTTCAGATTGGCTTTAAAGTGTGAGCAGGTCATATCACTAGCCTTGTTATCGCAGATAATGCTCACTTTCCTAATCCTTTGTTTCATAATCTACAATATGCAAAATGTAGAAACCGCAAATGATATTGTTAAAGAAATGCATTTTTTCAAATAGTAATTTTTATTCTCAGGCACACTTCAGCGAAAATCCCGCTCACTTTTTAGCCATGTTGCAATACGCACTAATTATATCTATGGAAATGTTTCTACCCTGTTACTAYGGCAATGAACTGACTGTGGAATCTGAGAAACTGGGCATTCACCTCTACAGCTGCGATTGGACTGCTATGTCTGCGGTCAATCGACGTCTAATTTACGTGTATATGGAGTCTYTGAAGAAGCCAGTGGTACTATGTGCTGGCAGATTTTTCGAAATCGGCATACCAATCTTTTCGAAGGCAAGTTTTTCAATACCTTCAAAGTTTATTAAAACGTTAATTTTTAATATTTGTACCCTTTCAGGCCATGAATAATGCCTACAGTGTATTGGCCCTTTTGCTGAATGTCAACGATGACGAAGAACATTAGTGAGTTCAAAAGGAGTTTTAAAAGTACAGCAMTTTAAGCCACTTATCATGTTATTAATAATTTAATAAGTAATTGAGGGTGGCGTTAAATTTTTTCTMTTTATCATGTAAGGAAAACATAAGTTCGAGTGTAACCGAACATTTTTATAGTCTCTAAGAATCAAAGCCGGGAAATGCTTCAAGGTGTTGGAAAACTTTCTCTTAAAATCTGTTGCGGAAAAGCTCATAATGTATTCGAGAGATATCTAAAAGACTCATGGACTTACTAGCTTCATTATCACATTTTGCGTCGGATCCGAGATATTTTTATTTAAATTATTTTCAAGAAATCGTGTCCAATTAATTTCATTAAAATAAAATATATATATAGTTAAGTATCACAGATATCAATCAATATAAGCGGTGGGCTAGCAAATCGAAAACCATTACATTGAGTATATCGGGGCTAGGAGGAATTCCGCATTCTTGAAGTCAACCTCTGGMATCGCTCTTGTATACTGGATATATACCCAGGTTTATTCGCTGACCACTTTGATGCGCTTGACCCATTTTTGATTTATGTTATAAAAAGTATATTCGAATGAGTTTTATTATTACATATCAAAAATGTACCCATATTTCCGACTGAACTGTAGTCCCCATATTTGGTGTATCGGCGGACTTGAAAACTGACTGTCTGATTTCAACTATGTGTGTGATATCATACCTCAAAGGCGCTATGCAACATGGTGCTACAGAGCATAATAAACGGTTGTTTATATCGCTTAAAAATGATAAAGATAGATATGGAAGTATACTACAAAACGGATGATCTAGTTCAAGGTTCCCTTCTTAACAAAAAAACAAAAACAAAAAAAAAAAAATAACTTCAGATTAACTTTATGGCTAATCGACCGCCACAAAACGTGAGATTACCTGCTCACCGAATGCGTTGTGAAAGTGGCGCCGTCTTATTGAAACCAAATGTAGCCGAGATCACAACTTTCAATTTCAGGGATCAAATAGTCGGTTATCAAGGCGCAATAACGGTCCCCATTCAGCATAACAAGCATAATTTTTGGGAGAAATATTAACCGATGTTTTCACCGACCGTTGTTTCTGGTTCCTCTGGATGAAATAGCAGCTCTTTATCTTTTCAGGCTGCTCTTCGTCCCAAATGCGGCAATATTGGTTGTTTACATACCCATTGAGCCARAAATGGCTTGAAAACGTTCCATACGTTAGCTGGAGTTGTTAAGAGCAGCGAGGAATCGACGGTCAACAGTCTACATGTATATTCTCAGCTACGGCTGCTATATTCATTATTTGCAGAATGTGAATTTTCATAATAAAGTTGAGCGATTTGTAAACGTTGTTCAGGCGTAAGTCTTTCCAAAATGCCAAACCATACTGAAAAAACAACATGACGGCTTGACACGACTCACGCGTGATTTGAAAACACTTGGATTACCTGCGCCTGCATAACATATTAGACCTTCGGTTACACTCCCTCAATTAATAACGTTTGAGACGAAGATTGGGATCTACTTAAACTAATCTCATGATTCCTTCGAATACAATAGTACGAATTTTTATTTTAGAGTTTATGGAGCCATACGAACTTTCACGTCGCTTAACACTTGTAGTAGCAAGAGGGTTGAGGTTTGGTAAACYTATTACTACTAATCTGAACTACTTTTGCCTATATTCAAGGGTCTCTTTAAATATATTCATACATAAGAATTCGCAGCACACCTATAGTATACTAACAATAAATTTTCCGAATAAAAAATTTCTATTATTCATATCTTTCAAATCGAACTGCAAACGACAAATATTTCATTTTTTAACACAAATGCCAAAAGTGATTTTAGTAAGAGACTAAAAATACAGTCATACTTTCTCATATTGAAACATAAAACGCATACACACACAATATCTACATCTGCACCTGTAGGTTCGTGCACAAATTCGTCCTTTTGTAAATATTATTTTTTATTTAAAACTGCATCTGTTGTAGTTCAGAATATCAAAGCTTCGTATTTTTTCGTTCGATTACAAATTTACTTAACTGATTAAGAAAAATCATAAGAGACGGGATAGTTTTGTTAAATTGAATTACAATAWCCGAGCAGTAAAAGGAAATAGTCATGAGGCCATTGCCGTTGCTGCGGTAGAAAATAGAACACACAATTTTTTTGTAGTATCCAACCGATTTGACAGTAAAAGCCAGTTCATTGTTCGTTGAAGTCGTTTAAAAAATAATCTCTCTTTATTAAATTATTAGGCTTAGATGCTCGAGTGACTAGCCATGCACGTGACTCGAGAACTGGGGTAGGTAAGCCCATATATAGATACACTAGTTTCTGTCTGTCTAGGAAAGCAAATTTCCTAGAATGGAGCAAATTCACTGCTTTTATATCTCTACTGTATCTTGTACAGGCTKCCATAGCCAGGTATCGTTTCTTTGGACTCTAACCCGGCGAAAGCAGGGCTAATTTTTATGAAAAGGAAGTATCTAAAGCCTGAACATCATATTAGTATGGTACTTCAATCCAAAATAAATCTTCTACCGTCTTGTACCGATCTCYASGTACCACCGTAAWGTATTCATCTTTCTGTTGGTATCTGAACTCGTATATATATTTGTCGCCAAACCCTTTCTTATATTTTACACATTTTGGTTGCGTTTGTGTGGTCTTCTTCTAGCGGTGCCTTTAGTTTTAGAGTTCTCTTTTTCCAAGACTTTTGCGACTATTTCAGAGACCGCATTACATTTACTTAGATTCACCAATTTGGTATACGAAGTATTCCGGGATGGATCTTTTAGATATCGAGTTTTTTGCTCGCATTGCTCACAGCGGAATAGCGTATACCTTACATTCTTAATCGACTAATCTGTCGCATTTGTCTAACGATCATTTCGACTAGTACGAAACTTTAAATCATGACAAGGAGGACCAAATAGCGCGGTAGATTTGACCTTAACCCGAATTCTCACAGGACATGGCTATTACAAAGTATATTTCAAACGATGCAAACACGAGAGACCACTTTGCGAGGTAGATGTTTACTTAATCCTAACCAGCCCTTCACCGACTCAGATCGAGCATTTTCTTTTGGGGTTTTTAGTGGTACGTCCATTAACAAACTTCTTTATTTTTTACGGTRAAAGATACAWTGAGTTTAMACTATCGATTACAAAGACAGCGCCTGCCGATACTGTACGAAACGCCGAGCACTGGGTGCACAAATTGCGTCGAATACTCTCAGACCTGGAGCATTTTCGTACATTCGGACGTSTGCGGTATTCATCTTTGCCAATGCACAAAGGACCATAAATCTTTCGCAAAACTATTGTTTTGAACATTCSTGAGSCCGACTCATCAGATRATATCATTGGCCATGCMTCCGSACCATATAGTAGGATGGGAATGATGAAAGACTTGTAGAGTTTATCTTTGTTCGTCGGGASAGGTTTTTATTTTTCARTTGGGTACTCAGTCCAAAGTTGCACCTGTTGGCAATAGTTGTCCYGCGTTGGATTTCGATGATGACGTTGTTGTTGAAGTTAATGCTGCTTCCAAGAGAGACGAAATTATCAAAACTCATATCCCAAATATTAAAGGCATGGTTATCTATCTATTTGTACTAACATATTTTATGYTACATGTATCAGCCTCATGGATCTTCCTGCCAGTAATAAGAACGGCTTCAGTTTTGCTCTACGTTAGAGTAAGTCCATTAGCTTCAGCCCGACACTCGTTGGTAGTATAAATTCATGTGCCTATGTGTTATGTAATGTCATTTGTCATGACATCTCAGCCACTATTGTTCTTTTCATATGTATGTATGGATGTATGTATGTATGGCAGTTATGGCTCGCTGATATGTTCTTAATTATTGCGGTTGTTTTGGCTTTATCAGCCACATTTCAACGCTCCAATCAACTCTTCTGCCATTTAACTTGGACTAACACGCGATCACACACATGTGCGCGCACAGACAACTTTAGCTTTAACACACACATGCATGCACGTGCACATATATGCAAATGARCACAAGTGCTTATATTTTGTCATTGTTACTTCTGACTGTTGCCATTGTTCTTGTTATTGTATTATTATAGCTGTCGGTGCTATCGCCGTTGATGCGTCCGCCCCGCGGCTGGGATATTTTAATTGCGCACAAACCAACGTCTGCACATAATTCATATATATGTATATCGCATGCATACGTATATATGTACATCTGCATATACATGTATATATATATATACACATATATACATTTACATATGCATGTATAGTACATTTAACGCCTGCAGTGTCGATTCTGCCAGCTCACTAATACATTTGCCGCCCTCTTTTACACGCGACTACACAGCTAAAAGTATTTACGTGCACGTATGTGTGTGCGTGTGTGTATGTGCACTTACTATAACTTCGCAATTGTTATTACGCTCTGACATTGCTCGCAAATTTTGACATTTTGATTTTACGAATTACAGGCTTTTTGGTCGACTTTTCACCCGCGGCGTCGAACCGTTCGACTACACCGTCACAGCGCCATACGGCGGTCGAGGTCCGGCATGCAGTGGGTCAGATTGTKCGCACACATAATCATATGAACTTTGGTATGCAATTCGCCTTTAGTCCTTACAATATTGACATGATGACGTTGGAATACACACATACACCCATACCAACTGCCGCCTGTATGTGCATATGTATGCGGAAAAACGGAACTTGCTAAACATTGTTATTGGAATTTTTAGGCGCTCGTTCGGGCCTCTTTTGATGTAATCAGAATTAAAAATATTTGTTTTTTAATTGCARCGCAAAAGTAATAGCGAAAGCTACCGTGCAACYGTCGGGCATAATTTAAAAYTTTTGTTGTTGACGTTGGCGCAAATARTTTTTAGAGAATGCACCCAGAGCAATAAAAGCGTGATTTCATAAAGTTATGAAAATCGAAAACTRTATTCGCTTGCACGATTCATTGTACCTGTAGCATACCTTA